TTACATGTAACTAGTTACTCCCCAACACTGCATTAGAAACACCTGTGCAGTGCATTGAGAGTTGAAGCGCGCAGAGAAATGTTAGGGATGGTTTTACTCCATCTGCATTCACTGAAACATAAGCAGTTCTGCACCTTCACATTCTTCCACCAACGAACGGAACTGTGCTGCTTACTGGCCTATATTAGACTAGCAATTCACAGTCTTTAAATCCATATAATGTGTGCTTTCATCGATGGAAAATGTATTTTTACTTGTAGTAGTACTTAATTACACAGGCTTTAGTAGTAGTACTAGGTTCGAGTGTTTCCTACATTGCTTGTTCAAATGTCTGTCCCCAGTGAGTCAGTGATGTTCTCCGGGTGAGTGAATGAGTGAGTTAGCTGGGAATGTTAGTAAAAGACGAATTGTAAAGCTGTGCCAAATTTATAAAGATTAATTATTTGCATTAAACGCACACAATAATGATGTTATTAGCACACTTCAAGTTTACTGTGAATGCCATTGCGGTGCGTTTTAAAGTTACTAAAATTAAAGAATATGACCTCAGTTTGTTATTAGTAATGCACGTTTAACTCTTAAAGTCTAATTTTAATGTCAGCAAAATACATTTGAAGTTTATGCTGAGTGAATTCTGCATTTCAAAACTTAAATACAAGAAGGGATATTTAAAGTGTACTTAAGTAGCCTATACTTAAAATAGTTCCACTTGAGCACAAACAAGTAGCCTATATTTATTACAACTTTAGTTGTACTTAAAGTCCCCATGAAATCAAAATGAAAGTTTTTTGGGTGTTAGTATCAATATGTTAGTTTTAAGGTTATCTATAAGGTAGTGTGCTCCAAAACATTGACACAATTCGCATTTAGAAGATATAAGCATTCAAAGCTTGCAGTTCGTCACTTCCGCCAAAACGGCTCAACGATTTTTTTTGACGTCACATCGTACTTCAGCTTCTCATCAAACTTTCTATCCAATCAAATGCTCTCTAGAATCCGAAGCCCCGCCCCCTACACTATAAAATACACGCTGAAGCGTAGTGCACTACAGTTGAATTACTGAAATAAATGAACTTTTCCACGACATTCTAATTTATTGAGATGCACCTGTATATATCACTAGGGTATCCATCAGTGGATTCATAATGAAGCTATTTGTACAGTCATGGATGAAATTTTAGTTTTTACTACTTTAGTGGAATAAGTGTTTTGTTTCTCAGAGACACTGTTCTGTAAAATGTGATATAAAGAGGTTTTTGTAGTGATTAAATTTAGTTTGTTTTTTAATAAACACACATTGTTTACAGCATGCTGCAGAAAGTATCCAAAAGGAATGTCAGTGAGGCTAATCACTGGGTTTTCCATTCGTACCAGTATCCTTAAACTGAGGTGAGCTTGTGATTTCTGTGGATTAATCTATACAGATGAACACAGATGCATTGCTCTGAAATGAAAGCTAATGATTCTGTTGTCTTAGGGTCAAAGTGCAAGCAATCAACAAAAAACAATCAAGAGCTTAATTTGACAACTTCTGAGGCAGAACAGATGCTACAACAAGAATAATTCTTCACGGAGGATGAAGTTTAATGACGTTTGCATATTTACTCTGCATAGTTGTATATGCAAGTTACTTTGTTTACTGCATTAAAATAATTTTATATGTAAAGTGAAATCTTGCATTTTGTATTTATTTTCTGTTCTTGTAGACAGTGTTGGGGAGTAACTAGTTACATGTAATGGCATTACATCATTTAATTTCAAAATAAATGTAACTATAATCTGTTACAGTTACTGAGAAAAAAATGTGTAATTAAATTACAGTTACTTATGAAAATGTTAAAGATTACAAAGGGGGTTACATTTGATATTTTCACACACATACAGATTTAATTGATTTTTTTTCATAAATTGCATTGCCTGCTCTAAAACCAATGTTTCAGGAGTTTAGGACACATGCTTATTCCATAACTGTTTTATTTCCTTTTTGGGTTCATGTACATGGTTTATTTTTTTAACAGTTTTTTGGTCAGAGTAATGAGATGCTAGCAAGGCTTATCAATCCCCCATCAAGGATTTTGTTTTTAATGATGGTGTTGTTCCGGAGTATGAAGAATTTATGACTTTGTATAGTCTTCCTCTGACACCTAGATCTTTCCATTCTGTTATCAAAAGTTTGTCTCCAGGTTATGTGCATTTTTTGAAAACATACTTTTGCTTTGAGAAAAACAATTATGCCCAAACTTTATTTAAAAAAAAAAAAGCTCTATCTCTCAGATACCACGAGAAAACAACAAAAGGTGCTAATGTAAACCCACAATGTGATATAATACTACCAAAAAAATTATAATCCTAACCTTTAACTCCATACCGGAATCCCAGACAGCCAGACAATGAAAATATAAATATAAATAAATAAATATAACAATTATTTGTGTTTGGGACGCTGTGAGCTTGGAGACTGCAGTGTACACCGTAAGTTTGAAAACGTTTAGCTTAAATGTTTAATATGAATAAACAGTGCTCATAAACAGCTGTGAGTTATGAAAACGGATAACGGATAACGGATGAGTTATAAAAAAATTCACCCCCTCACAGTTTATTAGCTATATAGACCAAAATAATTTTTTGAACCAGGCTGTAAACATGTTTTTTTCTACTGTAAAGTTGGGCATTTTAACATGGGGAGTCTATGGGACTGACTCCCTTTTGCAGCCAGCCTCTAGCGGCCAGTTGATGAATTACAGTTAAGTCACTTCCGTGTTGGCTTCACGAGAGAGAGCGGGAGGTTGCCGCTCGGCATAGACATAATAAATACCTAGACGCCTCATTGGCTGTTCGACCGCACGTCAACGTCGCCGCCATATTGGTGAAGGCAACTCTCCATAACTCTCATATCGGGACAGAAGAAAACATACCTGACTCGCCGGTAGCTTGGGCATCTACAAACTGTCGCAACTGAACAGTTGTTCTGTATGTTTTTGACGTTATCGTGTTTTTATCCAGAAAAAACCGCAGCTCCTCCGTTTACCTCCATTTATTTTTAAGGCAGTCTTGCCCTCACAAACATGGCGGACGCGTTGACGTATCGCAGCAACGGCTCAAAGCGGCCAATGAGGCGTCTAGGTATTTATTATGGTATTTATTATGGTATTATGTATTTATTATGTCTATGGCTTTGAATGCTTATATCTTCTAAATGCGAATTTTGTCACTGTTTTGGAGCACACTGCCTTATAGATAACCTTAAGGCTAACATATTGATACTAACACCCAAAAAACTTACGTTTTGATTTCATGGGGACTTTAATGATGTAATCAACAGGTTCTCTCTGGTTTAGAATAAACACACCTTGAAAAGATCGTCTGTCAAAGGAAGAACGTGTGCTAGCCTATTGTTCTTCTAATCTACATGCATTGTTGTCCTCTATTAAACTTTACAAAAGGATGAATCTGTCAGAAGATCAACATGGTGTCGCCCTCCAATGAAACACACAGATTTCATTGTCTTAAACCAGCGACTGTAGCCTCGTCTTCATCATCGGAAAGATCATCAACAACAACAACAGATCCATTAATAAAAGTTATTTGAATACTCTTTTTGGTCAGAATCAGAACTGCGATTTTTATGGGGTCTTTCCTTCTTGTGTGGCACTAACGGCTCCTCTGGAGAAACTAAGCAAGGTGCCCATAATCACACATCTGAAAGTTCAGCATGTCTTTATATTGTCAAGAACATATATAACACGCCTTAATGGTACGACTCATTTCAGTGGTGTCTTAAAAGCAGTCATAGAAACGGACCTTCACATCTACAGGTAAAGTTACAGGGAATTTCTTACATTAGAATGAGGGTTAGGCTTTTATTTCTATCTTTTTTTTAAATTTTTTTATGAGGTGCACTCATAAAAAGTATTTCACTGGCTTTTATTCAACGAAGCAGAGGCTGGTATTTGATTAAAGAAACACAATGATCTGCAATCATGACAGTATACAGTAATTCTGATTTCAGTTATTTTTAAAGCACTTACATTAGGGTTTTTTTTGCAGCTTAATGTTGCTATATATTGCATACCGTATGTTACGTGCTTTGCGTATGTGTTTGCTCCTCCTTCCTTTGCGGCCTTGCTCTCAGGTTCCTGATTGGACGTGTCGCCTGCCAGTCATCGTGACGTCGTCCTCTTCGCCCAATCTGCTGTCGCCCTGCCGGTTTAAAAGTTCTCCCGCGAACCTCGTGTGGCGGCGGTGTTTTGGTTTGCTGAAATGAGTTTTGTACCCTACTCTCTAATGCTGTGTCTAGCACTTAACTTGCTGTGTATCCGAGTTACAGTTCGTTTATTCCTTAATTAGGGAAAAGGGAACAGGTAAGCATATCGTATCATAAACAATTTGGTTTTTAGTGGTAAGAGTAGGACATTTAGAGGACTTGGGGAGCTTTATGTGAATCATTTGATTTGATTGTTTTCTTTGATTTGGGTGCCACTCAAGTTCCCTTTCCCTATACTAGTGATTATTGTTTTTGTGATAACCTTAGTTACTTCCATTGTTCTTTATTATTTTCATTTCAGCAATTGTAAATAGTGCGTCACACAAGCATTTTTCTTGTGGCTTCGGCTTAATGTAATAAATCGTCACTTTTGAGCTTCATTCGTGTGTTTATGGTCATTTTTCTGCCCGATTCAATCCACCCAGCAATAATTTACTTTCTAAGTGTTACGATCCAACTCCTAGACCTTTAAAGTTCAAAACACAGAACAATAAAAAATAAATAAAAAATCATAAAGACAACAACAAGTAAGATCAAAAGGGTGTTTAATATTTTTTGCAAAAAGAAAATCAAAAACAAAAAAGAAACCAGTAAAACTGTTTGAGTTGATTGATTTTTACAAAACAATAAGCATTTCACAAATCTATCACACTAAACGCCGGATTCAACGAGTCAGGAAATTAAAAAGTAACAAAACTAACATCTGGCCCCTCCCCCTTCACCCAGAGCAAAATGACCCTTTAAAGCTGATCTGTGGCCAGTGCTGCCACTTACAGGACTGAAGCTGTACAAAGTGGCAGAGATCAAATTCATCCCGTCCCCTTCACTCAGCCCCTCAGAGTAGATTCAACATTTATGGGAAAAACTGCTCGTTTCAGACAGTATATGCTCATGCAACAGAAAGGACTGCGGACACAAACCTCTCCCCCCACCCCACAATAAACACCGGTCTGGAATGGCTTCAGTACGGCCGGCCCCGTCTCTCCTCTCTGTGGTCTCCCCTTTAGGATGCAATGGAGACGAGCATTACTCAAACATCAGAGAACTCGTGATAACTCTGACTGACTGCAGAGCTGAGGGGTTTCATTACCTTCCGCCCATCTTGTATCCTCCGCGGTCTCCACCCCTGAAGCCTCCTCCTCCTCCTCCTCTGCCGCCTCTGAATCCGCCGCGGTCTCCTCCGTACCCGCCTCGACCGCCACGATCTGAAAGTCAGGAGGAAATCACAGCAGTGAAAGTGTGGTGGATAACTTCTGCTTGACATGAAACGGCACTCACAAGACACTTCCACAGAGCAGGGCAAACTAGGGAAGCTTGTTTCCACCAGATCAGAACAATTCAAAGGATTTGAGACTGAATTCTGACTCCTCTGAAGGGGGAAAAGGCCAAATTACCTTAAATTTTGAAAAATGAATCGAGATTAAAAAAAAGAAAATTATAATAATAGACAAAAACTCAAAATTGAGATGTAAACTCCAAAAAAATAAATAAAACATCTCACAATCCACTCTACTCATTTAAGAACTGTAAGATTTCCAAGTCTGAGTTTACATCTCGCAATTCTGACTTTTTCCTTTTGCAAACGAGTTTCTCACAATTGTGAAATTAAACTGAAAATAGTCAGAATTTAAGAAAAGTCAGAATTCAGGATACGACTTCATAGAGCCCTCAATATTCATGCCAACTCAAATAAAATCACTGCTTTCTCTCTACGATGTTCACACTTTGAACTTTAAGGTGAAGTGTTTTCTGCACTCACCTCCATCATCCTTCTGACTGTAGTCTCTGGCTCCTGAAAAACAACAAGACACGAAAGGGAAACACAACTTTGAGAACTTGAGAAATAACATGAAGTCATGAACTTTTATTTCACCAAGTCTATGAACACAATTAATAAAAACCAAACTGCTTTGCTATGTAGATTTGACCTTTACAAGTGACAGTTTACTCTATGCACCAGTGTGTCCAAAACTGCTGCACCATTTCCAATACCTTTGTACACCAGAAGAGATTTTCTGTGAGACTAGCAAAATTAAATGAGAAGTATTCATCTAAATCACGTCTCATCTTCACCATGTGCACAGTTGGCATCCAGAACACTGGCATTTAATTCAATTTCCTCATGCAAGACCATCTTATAGAGTAAATCTGGGTAGCTGTTAGACTTTAGCCCACAAGAGCATTACCAGAGAGGACAGCAATAAAGACAATAAGGTGATGTTCCTTTGGGTTGACATAAAATGGTGGCTCAAGAGCTCATTTGTCAGCTAATCTTTGTTTCTTTTTATTTCTTTTTTTAAATCTCCTTTCCCCCACTGAGACAGATGCTCATCACTTACCACCGTAATTTTTGTAGCCACCACGGTCACCACCACTGCAGAGGAAAAATTGAAGATATGATGGCTTTCCATTGTTGAAACCTGGGAGCGCAAGGCTCCCTCTTTACCAGTATTCCTTTCATGGTTTACTACTGAGGAGGAAACGGCTCCCATTGACAGATAGGTTAAAGATGATGGGCCAAATGTACATGAAACATTGCAAATTGAAACCAAAGGAGGCAAGCCTCTTTCCCAATTAGAATTGCTTTTTTCTGATTGAACGTCAAGATTTGATGCGACTAAAACCAGAAAAGAGCACGGAGGACAACCTCCCTGCTCCCTCTTGAGTTCTTCATCAAGAATTTACTCTAGATTTGAGCGTCTAACTGTTGTGGCACTCGTGTAGACGAGCACACATTTTCCTTCCATTATGAGTGCTTATGAGCTCCAATGGCTGAGGTCCAACTTTAATTTCACTCACTTTGATACCTGTAGTATAAAATGTAGACCGGTTAAGACAAAGAAACAACACTGTACAGACACCGATTCATGTGGAGCGACTGAGAACTGTTCCTTGCAGCAGAACTTTCCAATGTGAACACTCTCCCAAAGGGAAGGAGGGAAAACTGATGGAGACTAGTGCTGGGCGGTATGACCAAAAACTTATATCACGGTATTTTTCAAAATTATACCGGTTTCACGGTACATGACGGTATTTTTTTTCATGCATGACCGGGTGTTAACCATATTTTCTACTGATTAAGAGAGAAAATACTGCAGTATATTGACTTAGAATGCCCTATTTTACTGTCATGATGAGTGAATATTGTCAAAAAATACCACACTAAATAGTGACTAAACATTGACCCCTTTAATGTTAACCAGGAGTCACTCTCATTTATAATCGCGGCATCGTCTGATAAAGTGGATATTTGTGGTGGTCAATGTGGATATTGTGGATGAGTTCTTCTGTGTCATCACGTTCTATTAGTTCTACAGCTTCAGTTTCTGAACTTTCACGCTTAGTAACACATACAGCTGTTCCCTCACCACAGTGCAACAGTGAAAAGAAACCCGTTTCAAACAGTGTCGCGTTCCGAACGTTGTTTAAGCGACATACACCGGTATTGCGGTATTTTAAAAATTAATATAACAAAAATAAACACCGGTATTCGGTATGAACCGGTATAGCGCCCAGCACTAATGGAGACCAGAAGAAATGAGCTTTAAAAACTGCATTTCAACCAGGTTCCAAATCTGCATTAAAGGCTTCAGTGGAAACTTAAAGACTGTTTTGCCTTTTCTTCAAAATTTGAATTTAATTCAAAAGGAAACCTGAGAAATGCATAAAAAAATAAAAAAAAGTGGACAAAATGCATTACTTGGGGCTCTCCTACACAATGTCAAGATTTCACCATAATTAGCCAGGTTTCCGATCAATTCTCATGTTTAGACTGACCTAAATCAGACTTTAAGCTCTTACTGATTCTAGAGCAGATGAAACCTTGAGGGAAAATATCCACACGTGACAATTATGCCAATCTTTGTGTTTTTTAGCTATACCGTCCTATATGTGATGCATGGAGAGTAACCTTACCGTTTTAGCCTAAAAGCTATTTATAAGCATCATACAACTAACTACAATAAAGTTAATAACATTCCATTGGGTGGAGTGTCACGTTATAGAAACAAACAGATGGAGGGTCCATAAAGAGTACAACCAGTTCAGATAATAAAAGTAGACAAACCTCCTCTTGTGGTATAAGAAAAAATATTTGGGTTATCCACAGAGGAAAAAAATAAATAAACTTTTCAGGCCTATGTGCATTGTTGATTGTTAACAGTGTGTGGTGATACCTTCTGGGGTGGGCAGACTTACCCCATACCGGAGGGTGGGCCACCGCGGCCACCTCTGTCATAGCCTCCGCGGTCATAACCCCCACGACCTCTGCCCCTGAAACCCTCCGACCTGTCCGAGCCACCTTCGTCGCCAAACCTCCGGCTATCACCTGAGGAGAGGGGGAGAGACGCGGTTTTGGATTTGCTGCCAAACATTAAAACCTGGTTTCACAGGGCACAGGTTAAGCCAAGATAAGGCCATAGATTAATTAGGACACAAGTATCTTTTATAAACAGGTCTTAAAGGGTTAGTTCACCCAAAAATGACCTCATACGTCATCCTCCTGGAGCTGCTTCTGTGTACAACAGTGAGCGCAAGCTAGATTAAAGTGATTATTATTAAGTTTTGAATATGGATATTTTTTTTACGAAAAATGCATCGTTTCGCTACAGGAGGCCTTTGTTTACCCCCCCCCCAGAGCCGTGTGATGCACTTTTTATTATGGATGCATGCACTTTATTTAACTTCTTTTGGACTGATGCACTGCAACACCCGCTGACTGCCATTAAACAGCTTGGAAGATCAAAGACCATTTTTAATATAACTCCGATTGGATTCATTTGAAAGAAGAAAATCATACACCTAGGATGCCTTGAGGGCGAGTAATTCATGGGTTAATTTTTATTTTTGGGTGAACTAACCCTTTAAAACACACACACACACACTCTACTGGTGTGCATCTTGACAAAACAATAGCATAGAGATGCACGATCTTGGATTTTCGCCAATATCCGATATGCCGATATTTTTCCAACTCATTTTGGCCGATACCGATATATTTCCCTTTGTTTTGAAACACCAGGTCTCTCCTGTACAGAGATTATAAACAAATAATTTTTAATTTTGGTTAGTTAAAAACTTACTTGTTAGAATTAAATAATCGATTATTGAAGTTCTTCAATAATGAGTGTACACTGAAAGCTGAAATCAACTATAAATCAATCACTGCTTTTATTCCCCCACAGACAAACGCAGTGGTAATCTTAACATTGTATCTGAAGATTTAACAATTATAGATGGTCTAAAGCAAAAGATTTTCAATTAAAAAAAAATTGAAAATCTTTTAGAGCTCCTTGTATTGAAGTTTTCATAATCCATTTGAAAAAAATAAATAAAAAAAATACATTACACGACTAAAATCTGTATATATAAAATTACTTAATTTACAAGTGTCATGTTCGTGATTTTTATTTATGTAAGCTATAGCTTCTCACCTTTAATTCAAAGCATACTTGTTATTTTATGAAGTTGAGTACTGCTTTATTTAATCAGAAACAATCTTAACGTTATTGGTGTATTTAACTTTAATTTTATTATAAGAAGGCCAATAGCACCCCCTAAATAAATAAAATGCCTTACCGGACCTGAGGGAGGCTGCTGCCGCTGCTACTGCAGGTGTTATTGACAGTTTACTCTACCGTACAAAGGACGCATCAGTCTGTACATGCATTTTTCGATTAAATGCAGTGATCCAAAACAAATCATCACTCAGGCAAACGTTTGCTTCAAGAATGACTACACTGCTGAAGTCTTATCACTATCACACCCTGAGCACGTGAGCTATTCATTTTATCGGAAAGGCATATCGGCATAGTTTTTCATATCGGGCCGATGCCGAGGTTTACATTTTAAGCCATTCTTGGCTGAATCCGATATTGTTCTAAGGGCACTTGCATAGATCAGTCAATGCAAGTTTCTTTCAGTTAAAACAGCCCAGACATATTTTAGTCTGGGACTAGGCTTAAGCAACTTAAAAAAAAGAGATCTGGATTTAAGTCTATGCAAGATATGAAGCAATAAATTACAAAATTACCTTCATTGCGTCGCGCATATCCACCTTGAGACCCCCCGTACGCTCCTCCGCCAGCACCTCCTCCTGACTGCTGTCCATAAGATCGCTGCTGTCCATACGACTTGTCACCATAACTGCAGTGAGACAATGGAAGAGGTTTGACAATTATGGGAGGGTAACAACTAGGGGTTGAACGACTTTCACGATTTTTTTTTTTTTTTTTAAGTCGACTTTTATGTGATGAAAGTCGAGTCGAAGTCGACTAGTCGCAGATGACGTCATTGAGCAAATAAGTCTGGAGCTGTGACAAACACCTTGTGCACAGCTATGGCATATGACGCAGCACTGCCCACATGGCTACTGCTCCTATAACAGCTCACTTTTAACAGTTCTTTTGTCTTTGGCTCGTTGTATTTCTCACAGATTTCTGCTCGTTCTAAATCAGATACCCAGGGATTAAAGTTCCGTCGCTACGACGGATTTCCGTCAGTTCATAAAGATCATAAAGATCATTCCTGAATGATTCAGCCGTTCGAACGAATCAATTGAATGAATGATTCAGTGATAAATTGCCGCCACCTGCTGGCGGATATAGTTTCATTTTTAGCGTATCATTTCAGTTATTTGAATCATTTCTGTATTAAAAATTTTATATTTAAAATTTAAAAGTTCAATTTCGAGCATCCAGTAATATAATCACATGTCTTGTGGAGAGCTTTCAGAGTATTAATTTATTTGTCATTTTAACTGTTTGGAAACAGAGCATAATGTGGAATTCCTTCAAAGACTGTTGCGCCCTCTATAGGACCAGCTACTAGTCGACGTCAAGCTTAAAGCATCATGGCAGAGCATTGAATTTGACTAGTCGATTAGTCGGTGCAACCCCTAGTAACAACAGATTTTCTGGTGCATCATGATCCTTGTTGACCGTTCAAAGATGCTGGTCCCGCTGACAGCAGCCAAATGACCTTGTGGCTAGGGATGCACCGATGTATCGCCCGCTGATATTTATCTGCCCGTTTTTGATTATTTTAAAGCCATCGGCATATTGGAAATAGCATGAAAAGGGCAGATACCAATGGTTTATTAATTAACTGCATGGAGACAATGAGGTGCATGTCTGTTGCATAATCCAACGTTTTTCTCTGGGCAAAAAATTTAAATACATACAAAACAAAATACAAAAAATCTGTACAAAATATAGTTTGTCAGACGGCATAGCACAGCCTATACAAATGTGACACTGACACATCCAACGAGTGAAATGAATCATAGGTAAGTCGCATTAGCAGTGCCCCGGCGTTAGTTTACCCGAGGAGATGTCACAAACCACCAAGCATTAGGCCTACATTTAAGTGAAAATGATTGGCATGTAATATGCAGCTTTTTGTGTGTTTGAAACCAGCAAAAATGGCAGGATAGTGTAGAACACGGAATCACAAAAGCTCACATCACGCACCTGCAGCACTTCTATGAATGAAGAAAACTGAATAAAACTATATAGGCTACATAAGGAATATATAGGCCTATACACTAAATATGTTTCACTTAAATCATTAACAGATTAACAAAACGAAAGAAAAAAAAAATTGTGCTGAGTTTCGGTTCATTGTAAAGTGCTCCGAATTTCACATAAAGGAAACAGACGGCAGAAAACCGTTTTCTTTATTTTGCAAAAGCGTTACAGTTTTGAATGATGTTTTGCCTCAATGCGAGTTAGTAGTATATTTTTATTTAATGCCATGTCAGCATCTCAGGCTATTTTAATGGCAAAAACGATAAAAAAAAAATAATACATGTATGATAATGCGAGTGAAGAACAAAGCCTATTGTTTACATAAATACTTTAACATCCAGATACGTCACGAATATGGAAACATTTGGATTCATGCAGAACTAGAGTGGTAGGCTTTTTTTTTTTATAATTTGTGTTGCGTTGACAGTTTTTCCTTTTGTTTAGTACACTTGGTCAAAATCTAGAAAAGATGCTGTACTGACTATGACTAAGAGCAAGCACCAGATCAAGACTTTTTTCCCTTTGAGTACAGAAAACGCTGTACTTTATTATTATTATTATTATTATTATAGGCAAAAGTAAAAGTAAAAAAAACAAACCAAAAAAAAAAAACCTTATTAACCGGTCTTTTTTCTACTCAAACCGGTTTCTGAACGTAATACAGAGGAACGCAGGAACAGAAACGATCAACAACCGATTCTGCTTGGAGTGAACCGATAATTTTTAAGCCCTGCTTTATACAATTGACCAATATCCATATCAGCCAATAGTTGTTTGTTAAAAGCAGTATCGGCCAAAAAAAATCCTATCGATGCATCCCTATAATTTCATATGAAATAGAGCGGTCTCTCTCACATATAGCTAATCAGGCCAATCAGGAGCAGAATTTCACATTGCACTGTAGTAATAACTACGATGGTTACACAATTACAGGGCTATGCATTCTGTGGCAGAAACCAGTGTTTGGCATATGAAAAATGCTGTTTCCGAACACTTCCTGCAGAAACCCTGTAATCAGCAGAGTAAACATACATGTCATCAATAACAAGAGTTTGTTTGTGTTTAACGCCATTCCAGCTTCTGTGGCTAGTTTCATGGCGAGAAATATTATGGCTGAATTATATCATGTTTTTACAACTTATTTTTGCTAAACTCCAAAACTGTATTTGGCTTAACTTGGTTAAAAATCCCTTCAAAAGAGTTAACTTAATAAAAAAAAGTTTTCTAACGGAGTTAAAACCAGCACAATCTAATAAAACATGCTTAATGGATAAAGGGATTCGGCAGAGAGAACATGTTGGAGGATCTTCCCCTAGCATTAAAAATCATCCTGGAAAGACCTATCATACAGCGGGCATAAACAATCTGGTCCCATCGGTTAGAGAATTGATAGAAATGTCTTTTTCCAACATTGGGACTAATTTCATGGAGTTTATTCATTCTATATAGATCCCACTCGGTTTGTCATTTGTCATCAATAATGATCGAGACAAGATGTGGCTATGACAGAAGTCCGATCTCTCACCCAGATGAGGATTCGGATCCCTGCTGTCCGTAGCTGTCATAGCCCTGCTGCTGCTGCGGCTGCTGCTGCGGAATGGATTGCTGTTGCTGCTGCTGCTGCTGCTGCTGACCATAACCACCAGAGGAGTAACCCTGAGACGACTGGCCATAGCTCTCTCCTTCAGGAAATCATGTCCATTACACACCATCCATCATTAAACACATTCATAAAATCACTTATAAACCACATACCACTAGGCTGTCCATAACCACTGTAACTCTGTCCACTGTAAGAGCCGCTCCCATTACCCTGACCATATCCCTGCTGAAAAGACAAAATCATTAAGCGCCAACATACACACATATACATACAAATATATACACACACACACATATACACTACCATATGTGTGTGTGTGTATATATGTACTGGGATCAGTAAGACTTGTAATGTTTTTTTTAAAGAAGTCTCTTCTGCTCATCAAGGCTGCATTTATTTGATCAAAAATAAAGAAAAAAACAGTAATCTTGCAAAATATTACAATATAAAATAATGGTTTCTATTTTAATATCCTTTAAAATATTTATTTCTGTGATGCAAAGCTGAATTTCCATCAGCCATTACTCCAGTATAAACTGTCACATGATCCTTCAGATTCTAATATGCTGATTTATTATTAGAATTATCAATGTTGGCAACAGTTGTGCTGCCAAATATTTTTTCTTTTGGAAACTGCGATACTTGTTTCAGGATTCTTTGGTGAATAAAAAGTTAAAAAGAACAGCATTTATTCAAATTATAAATCTTTTCTAACAATATAAATCTTTGCTATCACTTCTAAACAATTTAACACATCCTTGCTGAATAAAAGTTTTAATTAAAAAAAAAATTTACTGACCACAAACTTTTGAACAATAGTGTATATTGTTAGAAAAGATTTCTATTTTAAATAAATGCTCTTCTTTTTAAAGGGGTCATATGATGCAATTTCATTTTTTCCTTTCTCTTTGGAGT